CTGCTGGTTGTGAACTGCCGACCCTGGGGTTAGCAGCATGGTGCATGTCCAGCGGTGCCACTGCTGTTGCTGATATCCTGAGGGGCCATCGAGCCCGCCCGGGGACGGGTCTCTCCTGGTGACAGGTCCAGAGTCCGCGAGACGGAGTCTGCCACCAGGCTCCCTCTCACACCCAGCAGACATGCCTGTGAGAAAGCCGAGGGTGGGGGCGCGGGGGCAGGGGTGTCCGGTCGGTGCTCCACAGTGTCCCACGTGGGTTTGTGGCTCACCTTCCCTGTGCCTCGGTGTCCCTGCCTCTATGACGTGCGCGAGGGGGGGCGCGGCCCAGGATACTCTGTGGGTGGACAGCAGCGGGATCGCGGGGTGAGCCTGGGGCAGCCCTGGGTCCCCCAAGATCCCCTCTGCAGGAAGTGGCCGCTCCTCTGTGGTGTGGCTGTGCTGACGCTCCTGGATTGTCTCCCAGGATCATTGACGGTCGGGACCTGATGCCGCTGCTGCAGGGGCAGAGCCCGCGGTCGGAGCACGAATTCCTGTTCCATTACTGCAACTCCTACCTGAATGCCGTGCGCTGGCACCCGAGGGACAGTGAGTGACCCCTCCCCCGCCGCGTTGCCCCTGCGGTGCCGCTCCTGGGCCCCGGGGTGGGGGCCGTGGCCCAGGCTGTCCGGCTGCAGAGATCAAGGCACCCACAGCTGGCACCCTGTGCTCTCCCATCCCCTCCCAGCCAACACACCATCTCCCAGGCAGGTGCTGGGGGCCCAAGCCGGGCCCTCGGTCGGTCAGTTGGTCAGTCTCCAATCCGAGACCCGAGTTGGATGCCTGGCCAGTGAGCCTCCTTGGTGTGGCCACCACGGCTGTTCACTGAGGCCACGTGCCTGCGTGTGCACCGCTGCTGCCCAGGCTCCGGGGGAGGCGTGGAGGGGAGGGGCAAGGCTGGCTGTCGACAGCCACACGCAGCCGTGAAAGCCACGTGCACCGCAGAGGCGGTCATGGGGATGTACAGGCCTGGCTCCGTTGAGCCTGAGGTCCCTGGAGGAGTTGGGGCGGGGTGGACAGCACAGGACGCAGGGTGGGGGCAGTGAGGATCTGGGTGAAGGCCTCAGGTCTCCGCCTTCCACAGAGCGCGGGAGCAAGGGTGTTCGAACCACACCCGTAGACTTCCATGGGAGACATCTCACCCTCTTTGGCCGTGCTGTCAAAACAAGGAGGGGGAGGGGGAAAGTTACCCCTGGTGTCAGCCTGGGGTCCCGTGTCCCTGTGATTCGGGCAGATGTAGCACTGGCATTTCAAAGGTCAGCAGGGTGGCCCCGGGGAGCCAGGTTTCAGGGAAGCACCAGACCAGGACCAGGAAGAGCGGCCGTGCTGGCCGGACATGTCCACAGCTCCGGACAGCACCGCCCACTGTCATTTGGCCAGAGAGACCTGCGGGGACTGGATGGGAACAGTGGCCAGGATGGTGGGACTTGAGTGAGCAGTGGGGGTGAGTCTTTATCTCCGGTGGGGGGCAGGGGGCGGGCACACGTTTGATGGCAGGAATGACCGGCTCTGGCTGAGTTCTGCCACCAGGATTCGAATCTCCCGAAGAGCGAGCCAGTGGAAAAGGTGCCTCCCTCTCCCTCCGGGAGATCCGAGCCGGCGTGCCCATAAGGAGCCACCCCTCTTGTTGCCGCTCTGTTCCTTTGGCAAAATATTTTTAAAAGTCACATGAGCGGGGTGGACAGACCCCACCCCTGCCCCATCACCTCTCTACGTCTCCAGGAAAAACATCCAGTTTCTTACTGATTTGCAAGTGGTGGTAAAAATGCCCCGTGAGGTTCAGAACTCACGATAAGGGCCGTGAGGTAATCGGAGAGCCGGTCTGGCTCTCCCCTCCCCGCAGCACCCGGCGGAGCTGCCCCTGCGGGCTGGAGAGGCTGTCCTTCTTCAGGGAGTAGCGGGCTTCCTCTGTGCCCATGAGCGGGTGGTGGCTTTGAACTGCTGAGCTTGTAGGGAGCAGAGCCCACTGGGCCATGGAGGCTGTCAGGGTGGTTTGCTGCTTTGGTGCACTGCTAGCTTCTGCCCCGTCCCCACAACCGTTCCTGCGCCTGAGCCCGTGGCTGCAGCTCCTGCGTCCGTCCATCTCCCTGAGGGCCTCCCTCTCTGTCGCTGCCCCTCCACCTGACCAAGCACGACGTCCTTCCCCAGGGACGGGTCTCTCCTGACCACACGTCCACAGTGCGTGAGACTGAGTCTCACCACCTCAGCCCTAGGGAGCACTCTGGCCGCCCTTCTGCTGAGACAGCTCCGTGTGTGGGTTAGCAGCCCGCGGTGCTGTTGATAACGCCCACCGGCCCCAGCATTCAGATGCATGGATGAGCGTTTGCAGGCTGCAGTACATCTCCCTGTAGCGGCCCGTGCCCCGTAGGGCCCCAAGCGACTGCGACATTTCCACACAGCCTTCCTGGGCACCGAGGATGTCAGTCAATTTGTGCATATTCATTCATTTATTTGGGAAAATCAAGCAAGCAAACAATTGAAACTGAGCTACCTACCCAAAGCTCAACCGTCCAGGGCTTACCAGAACGCAGAAATGACATTTTCAAAGTGGCGTGACCACATTGCCCTGCAATTGATGGATTCACCCAGCTCACGGTGCCCAGCCGCTTGACGGAGGGATGATCCGCTTAGCCGCTCGGTGCAGCGCACGTCTCCAGGCGGCCCTGCATGGCGTCAGTCCAAGAGTCCAGAGGCACCAGCCCCGCCCAGCCTGACCGCAGTGGCGTTTGCTGACTCCTTCCCCTCCCAGACAGCGGGAGGGGGGGGGGCTCTCTGCTCTGCACTCTCCTGACAGCCCCCCACCAGTGTCATTGTGTTCCCCGCATGATCTTTCTGGACATGGTCCATGAGCAGGCTGCGAGGAGGTAGCGTGGGCACCCCAGGGTGTGATCCTCCCAGAGGCCATGTAGCCAGCCCTGTGGTTGCGTGAGCTCCCTGCCTGCCCCGCCCTCCCCTTTCACCTTGAACTCAAATGCAGGAGGGCGGGAGCACGCACCGCTGGAACAGCAGACCCTGATGACCTCCCCAGTCCCCGCGGGGAAGTGTCAAGCTCAGATGCCGATTCCGCGTGAGGGCTCTGCTCCCCGAACGATCTCGATCGCCCAGGCCGCCCCCCTGCTGCCTGCTCGGCGTGGACTAATCCGCTGGGGCAGCAGTTCTCAACCTGTGGGTCACGAGACCCCTCTGGGGGCGTCAAACAACCCTTCCACAGGGGCCGCCCGATTCATCACAGTAGCAAAATGACCGTGATGAAGTAGCAACGAAGATACTCTATGGTTTGGGGTGGGGGGGGTCCCCACCCCATGAGGAACTGGATGAAAGGGCCGCGGCGCGAGGAAGGTTGAGAGCCACTGCGCTAGGGGTTGGGGAAAGGAGGGGGCTGTAGAGACGGACAGACACTTTCTGAAGGGGAACTTGTTAGCCGAGAGGTCAGCAGTTTGAGACCGGCAGCCGCTCCGAGGGGTACAGAGCAGGCTGTGGACCCCCGTAAAGAGTGGCCGTGTCGGAAGCCCACAGGTCGTGTTCCCTGAGTCTGAAGTGACTTGCAGGCCGGCCGGGGGTTCTGATTTCTGCCGTCCACCAGCGGTCAGTCAGTCCTTCATCCTGGGCGCCAGCCAAGCAGATCCAGAGGCCCGTGCGCCTTCCCTCCCTCGGGTCTGCGTCCCGCCCCCTGGGGTGTCCACGGGAAGCCTCGCCTGCGTGACCAGGGTCCGCCCTGTCCCCTGCTGCAGGCACGTCCATCTGGAAGGCCTTCTACTTCACGCCCAAGTTCACGCCCCAGGGCTCCAACGGCTGCTTTTCCACCCACGTCTGCTTCTGCCACGGCCACTTCGTCACTCGCCACCGCCCGCCCCTGCTGTTCGACCTGTCCCGGGACCCGCGCGAGCGCACGCCGCTGACGCCTGAGACCGAGCCCCGGTTCCACGACATCCTGCGAGCCATGCAGGAGGCGGCCGACGGCCACAGGGCCACGCTGACCGCTGCCCCCGACCAGCTGTCCGTGGGGAACCTGCTGTGGAAGCCATGGCTGCAGCTGTGCTGCTCCTCGCCGCGGCTGGCCTGCCGCTGTGACAAGGAAGCCCAGGGCACCAGGGTCGCCCACTAGCCATGCGCCCCCGGCCACCCGGGGTGGCCATCCCGGCCCGGCCCTGTGGCCCGCCCTGCACGTGCTTGTCTCTGGGCCTCGGTGCAGCGATCCCGGCCTGCGCTGGCGTCTGGCCGGCCCTCAGCGGCTTCTCCTCAAGCTTGGCTTCGAGCTTTTAACCGACCCAACAGCAGGGGTGGATCGTGCATCCGGGCCGGGGCTCCGACCCAGGGACAGTGGCTGGGAGCCACGTCTTGGGGGCAGGGATCGTCACGTCCAAGAGGCAGGGAGTTAGAGGCTGGGGCGTAGAAAACAGGGTTCTCCCCTCAATCTTCATCTAAGACCCCCCGGATGCACAGCATCGCCGGTCCCCTTTCCCCTCGTCCTCGGGCTGCCCAGTGGCCCCCACGATGGCACTGGGGTTCAGGGCCACGGAAAGAGAGCCGCGTCGTGCTGAAATAGACATTGTGCTGAAATAGACACACACACACACACAAACACACCGCAAACCCACTGTCGCAGACCTGATGTTGACTCACAGGACCAGACAGGACAGAGCTGTGACCCTCCCACGGAGCAGCGGGTGGCTTTGAACTGCTGGCCTTGCAGTTAGCAACCCAGCACGCACCCGCCACTCCCCCCCGTTGTGTGTCTGTGTGCACATGCACACGTCTACACACACACGTGTGCGTATGCATGAGCACACGTGCACACTTGCTCTCGGCACCGCCCTGCACGTGCGTTCTGCCCTCACTTGCTGGTGTGGTCCCGTGACGTGGGTCAGTTCTGACTCTGAGCGACCCCGGGCTCAGCCGACGGAGACCCCGCCCGCCGCGGCTTCACAGCAGGTGTGCTACAGCCCACAGCTGCGGCCCCGCCTGAGCCCATGGCTGCGGCCACTGTGTCCCTCCGCCCAGCCGAGGGGCTTCATCTCAGTCTCTGTCCCTACAC